ACACACACACACAATAACCTTGCAAACCCCCCCACAACTCCTTTTTGGGTCAGGACCCCTACAATTACAAAACCGTGAAATTTCAGATTTAAATAGCTGAAACACGAAATGTACGATTTTTAAAATCCTATGACTGTGAAATTGACTGAAATGGACCATGATTTGGTGGGCCCTATTCATAGTATAATTATCTGGGTATGTGTTGTCAGAATGAACTTCTGTAGTGTCAAGATTGAAATCAAGTACAGGAAAGAATTAATTGAAACCTTCCCATTATCATAGAGTAAGTGTGGCCAATAGACATTTAAATTTTGAGTGTTCCCACTACTCCCTTCTCTAAAAAATGTTCCTCATTAAATAAAAATCAGAGGACAAGATATGTTGTGCCTTACTATTAATTTGCCCTACAATTTTAAAGTCTATTTTTGGGTCAATGTGACATTAGATTAATTATTATAAGCATTTTACAACAGTTGAACAAACTCTTTTTTTCTGTTGGAAGTAATTTTCAAATTACCATTGCAACCTTGCAAAACTCACCAGTCCAGCTAGTGCAAAAAGTTATATTTTATACATCTTTGGCCAGGGTTGGCAGTTTTCCAGGAAAAACTAGTTTAGGACGGAGTGCTGCTAAATACGGTTTAAACCAGGAAAGTGGGAAAAATAATTGCTTCAGTGTCCAGCAACTTCAGCAAGCATAGGACAAATCTTTTCAAACTTTGGATACGTCCATTCAAAACTAAGGAATAGGTTCAATCTATTCACTACATCAAAGTTGGTCTTCTGCTACAGAATGTTGTAGGCCAAATGGGTTAAGGTCGTTGTTTTAGCTGTTGTAGTTATACTATACTATAGTAACTCTTCATGCTTCTGATTGCTTAATGCAACTGTGCATTATTGTTGTTTTTATATAATCAAATGTTTTTGACTTTTGTTTATATAATATCGAAATATGAGTCATGACATGTATAACTTCCTTGAGAAAATACAAACCCAAATATATACAGACATTCCCATGTTCAGCATCATAATGACTATATTATTACACCCTAGTGCAGTTTTGCTCTTTATTTGTACAACCCTAAATTAATCTGTGTAGCTACTGCCTTAAGTAACCACAGTTTGAATATGTAATTTAAACTAGTATAATGCAATGTGCATGAATGAAACAATTTTTAAAATAGCAAATTTGCCTTAAACTGGGACTAACTAGTTTTATCCCTATGGTAAAAACCTTGATTTTACTTGGTAACAACCAACTCTGGTAATTACTATGCCATCCCTGCCTTGAGTAAGTAAATTTTTGCAAGCCTGAATTATTATATTTCGTTTAAAATGTCTCTGTGTTGCAAAGTCTTTTAGATTACTATGTGCTGGGCTCTGGTTAGGAGGCATTTGATGAAAAATTTGAGCATTTTCCAGCAAACTTTGAGCTGAAAGACCAGTTTATCAGTTGCTTTTTTTTTCTGAATTATCTTGCATCACATGATAATTAACCTTTGCACTTCTTCACACAACTTTTTGTTCATGCACAAAAAGCTGCATAAATCCTGTTGTGAGGACTGTGTGACTCAAAGTTGTTGAGCATTTCAGGCTTTCACTTAAACTTTCACTTCCTTTTAAACCATTAACTGGAAACCACAATTAGGAGAAAATTCTTGGCACTTCAGAATGTCATTATTATGGGGACCATATAACCTTTTCCTGAGTGATAGGGTAGAAGATGGTAACTGAAAAACTGTTGATGTCTGAAATGAGTATTTCATGTTACTTATCTTTTTATATACACATGCTACCTCAGCCTGTATGGGAGGAGGGACATACCTAAAGGCATACTTTAAATTTTTGTTGTACTTACTATTGTTAGACATAACACCTAAAGTTACTAGAATTTAAAGAGATTAGAAAAAGCATGTTTTTATCTTTTTTGCTTGCTTGCTTTGTACATTTGACAAGCCTTTACATGGAGTCAATTTCATTGTTTTCTCTGTATAATCAGTCAGGGATTGTTGTTTGTGTGGGTCTTGCACAACATTTAAAAATAGGGAAATGTTGTTAAACCACAAAAATTGGCAGACAGATTCAAGGACAGGTATTGCACCTGAAACTGCTTTACATTAATTTCTTGAGAGTGCTAGAATGCAAGTTAACTATGTCCCTAAAATCTCACCAAGGAACAGGATTAGGAAATTCTTTGACATGGTTTTAGAAACCAATGTGGTGGTTTTCAATAGTGACTTTGTGGTAAGTTTCAGTAGTTTCAGCTCTGATGACAGTTTATGAATGTCAGTTTGGGCATTTAGAAACTTGGACAGTATTTTAATTTAAATGTAACAGCTGCTGCAAGATATCAAGTTATATCATGTAAACTCTTATTAGCAAAGGCATTTGGTCTAAGAACAGAATCTCACAGCAGTTGCTGTGTTCCCCAGGTTTATTTAGTTTCATTCAACATGTTTAGCAAATATTAATTTCCTGTAAACTTCAATAATTCACCATTACCCTCCTCCATACAAATGCCACATCATACCCACAGTTCCATGTACAGCCCATTTCCCCTCTGTTGTACTGGTGCCATTTCCTCCAGATTTTCTGTATTACAAAAGTTATCTTCTTTTAGCAGGATGAAGTTAAAGGAGATTGATCGTACTGCTATGCAGGCATGGAGCCCTGCCCAACAACATCCCATTTACCTGGCTACAGGTAACTTGTTGAAGAGTATGGTCCCTACCCATGGGGCTTTCTATGCATATGGTGTAGATTATAATATACTCACTGTACTTGTAGTTTATAATAGAAAATTAATGTCCTGAAGGCCGAAATAGTGATTGAGAATGTAATGCAGTACCCACTTGAAATCACTTTTCAACCTCTGGAGTATCAGCTTTCCCTAGAAATCAAAACCCCAGCCTACCATATACCTTGTAAACGTGCATGTTTGCCCTAAATGTACGGCAGCGTTGGTAACTTAATTTCAAGGCTTCTCTCTCCTAAATCATAGGATTACATGACCCAGTCTTTACCAATGGCTTGCAGTTTCTCAGTAGTTTTGGCTGCCAAAACTATTGCCTTTCAGTCAATTTCTGAGTTTCTTCTGATATTTGTGTGGGATTCTTACACAGCAGCAGCGGAGAGGAAAACATCACACATCTCCCTTTCTTTTCTGTTTTTTTAAATTTTATTTTAATGGGAAAATTTGGTTGTGAAACCAGGAAGGGGATTTAGGGGCAGATGAAATACCTGATACTTTCAACTCCCTTTTTTAAAAAAATCGACTGTTTTGTGTTCAGTGTACCTCTGAGACACTGAAGATTTTATTTCCTTTGTATGATTTGATACTTTAGTAATTTGCAATTCCGTATTTTGCATTCTGTCATTCTGATACAATAGTATGTTTCTGCATAGGTACATCTGCTCAACAGTTGGATGCAACTTTCAGTACCAATGCTTCTCTGGAAATATTTGAACTGGACTTGTCCGATCCTTCGTTGGATATGAAATCCTGTGCAACTTTCTCCTCCTCACACAGGTATGAATTGGGGTTCCAGATTTATGGTCTGCTTTATAAAAATGCATTTTTTGTGCCATGATATGGACTGCAAGGATAGTGTATGAAGCTTTAGCCCTGTGTCAGTGTTATTAGGAAAGGTGAGAAGGATGGACTTGTGGTTAAAGTTGTAGACTTGGACTCTGGAGACCTGGTTTCAGTTCCTGTTCTGTCACAAATATCTTGGGCTGGTATCCGTTGGGTGATAGAATCATAGAAATGTGGGACTGGAAAGGAACTCGATAGGTCACCTAGTCCAGTGTCCTGCACTCATGGCCTGACAGGTGTTTGTCTAGCCTGTTCTTAAAAACCCCCAATGACAGACATTCCACAGTCTCTGTCAGTAATTTGTTCTGGTGCTTAACTACCCTTATAGTTGGGAAGTTTTTTTCTAATGTCTAGCTTTAATCTTCTTTGCTGCAATTTTAGTCCATTACTACTTGTCCTGTCCTCAGTGGTTAAGGAGAAGAATTTATCACCCTCCTCTTTATAACAACCTTTTACATATTTGAAGATTATCACGTCCCCCCTCAGCTTTCACTTCTCCAGAAGAAACAAACCCATTTCTTCCCCCCCCCCAATCTTTCCTCGTAGGTCATGTTTCCTAGACTTTTTTTGTTGATCTCGTCTGGACTGTCTCCCATTTGTTCACGTTTCCCAAAGCGTGGCACCCAGAACTGGACACAGTACTCCAGTTGAGGCCTTATCAGTTCTGAGTAGAGTGGAATAATTACTTCTCATGTCTTGCTTACAGTGTTCCTGCTAATACATCCCAGAATTATATTTACTACTTTTGCAACAGTATTACATTGTTGACTCATACTTAGGCAGTGATCTACTACTACCCACAATCCTTTTCTGCAGTTCTCCTTCCTAGGCAGTCATTTCCCATTTGTGCAGTTGATCATTCCTTCTGTGACAAAGTTCCTCCTCTACCTTGGTGGGTCCTGTGCTTATTGGCGGATTTGCTCGCTTCACAGATTCACCCTGTGGGTCAGGAAACAGTCCAGAGACCTTCCCCTCTGGTAGAAGCTATAGTCCAGGTCAATTCCTCCTGTGTTGGATCAGGAGTGGGGAGGTATGGGGGGGAACCCTCTACTCTAGATTCCAGCCCAGGGCCCTGTGGACTGCATCTGTTTAGAGTGCCTCCTGGTACAGTTGCACA